CTAAATGATTAAATTCAAGGTGCATTAATGTCCTTTAACCCCGACAAAACAAGAAGAAAGAGGAGGAGTGTGGTTTCTCGCTCTCGGCTTAATTAGCCTTGATCAAGACACTCTTATTACAGTCTGTTTGAGCTCTCCGGCGTGTAGTGATCAAAGGCAGAGGCATTGATTTATTTTGGGTTAAAAGGAATTTCCAGAGGGCAGGATTAACATTTCACTGTACAGGCTTGACATTATAGGAAGCCGGCGTCAAGCTAAGCCCCTCACAAGAGCACACACAGACACAAAAGTTAGGGCTGGTATCAAAGACATGCAAATCGTTTAGATGATTTTCTTCATTATTGGCGCGTGTGCGTTCACCGACTGTCCCAAAAAAATAAAAAAATGACAAAAAATCGGTCGCCGGCTGGATTTTATCAAGAAAACTCAGCTTGGGTCGCATCATTGGTGAAGTCATGTAATGGGTAGACCAGAAAGCAGATGTTTGTCCTTCCAGATGTGAGAATGAGAATGAGAAAGTCCTTTTTAAAGATGGAGCCGAGCATTATTCATCACTAACAGAAGGGAAAAAGAACAAATCCCAGATTTCGTTTCAGAGTCTGAGCTCTGAGCCGGACTGTCTCTTCCTTTAATGAGCTTCCCTCCACCAAAATGATTCCTCTCAGCGAGAAGATTCAGGAATATTTTCCACGTTGACCAACTAAAGCAGCATTAGAGGATCCTCAGAGCCTTATTTCTGAATTTAGGTCCAGTACATCTCTCAATACCAGCTTAATCTGGCTGCTGTTTTCCACCAAAAACCAGCATATAAATATATATATACATAGGGGGTGTACTGTGGTAAATTAAGGTACCGAAATCCTGACAGACCCCATAATTCTGTTTTCTTCTATTTAATTAGAAGAATATATAAACAGAAGAAGAAAAAAAAACAATATATATATATGGGGGTGCATGGGGTAAATTAAGGTAACGAAATCCTGACAGGCCCAATATTTCTCTTTTCTTCTATTTAATTAGAAGAATATATAAACAGAAGAAGAAGAAAAACAAAACAAAATATATATATGGGGGTGCATGGGGTAAATTAAGGTAACGAAATCCTAATAGACCCAATATTTCTGTTTTCTTCGGTTTATATAGAAGAATATATAAAAAGAAGAAGAAGAAAAAAAAAATACATATAGGGGGTGTACTGGGGTAAATGAATTTAACCAAATCCCGACAGACCCAATATTCCTGTTTTCTTCTGTTATATAGATGAATAATTAAACAGAACAAAAAAAATACATACATATATATATATAGGGGGTGTACTGGGGTAAATTAAGGTAACAAAGTCCTGACAGACGTCATATTTCAGTTTTCTTCTGTTTATATAGATTAACATATAAACAGAAGAAAAGATATATATATATATATATATATATATATATATAATTTAACTCATTGACTGCCAGCCATTTTCAGAACAGAGAGTCGCTCACTGCCAGAGTTTTTTGAGAATTTTGACTGATTTTTCAAGAGCCACAGAATAGTTTGTGCTATGACTATGTAAACACCGAACACACCAAAAGAAAGAGTAGACTCTCTTCTTTCATCAGGAAAAAAGATTTTGTTTCTACCTCACTCCGTTCTTCTTCGACGTGCGTCTCACCGGCGCCATTTCTCTCATAGCGAACTATTGCGTTTTTATTTGCTTACAATCTATGCTAATCTCCCATCAAAAGTGGCACAGCTACCTAGAGGGTAAATTTGTTAGTACATACTCTGTCTAGAGGCCGATATTTACGGGAAAACTTTCGCCGAACGTCCCCCAAGCCACTCGCATTGAAAAACATAAAAGACGTCTATAAACGTCTTTGGCAGTCAGCGGTTGGATTTGAAAAGACGTCTATAGACGTCTTTGGCAGCGAATTAGTTAATAATAATAATATATATAATTTAAGGTAACGAAATCCAGACAGAGCCCATATTTCAGTTTTCTTCTGTTTGCAACCTGATTCTTACCTGATACCATTTGCGAGTTGATGGTAGTCATGGCGACATTGCCCTGTTGCAGGCCTCCAGAGGGCACCACAATCCCCGAAGGGTTAACGGAGCTGGAGACAGAGGTCATGGATGGAGAGGAGGTCTGAATTAGTTCCTAGAATCACAGAGGGGAGACACTGGTGAGCGGCTGTGTATCGCGAGTGAAAAAGGGACAAGACTTTTTGCAAATGTCAAAACGCAGAACGTGGGACGCGTTAGCATCGAACAGCATCATGTCTCGAATCCCGACTCTGAGACGGGAATATTAAACGGGAGGAGAGGTAAAAGCAACAACTGGGGAACCCCACAGACCCATTCGGTCTGAGACCCAGTTAATATGCATGCTAATACTTCAGTGCTTTGGTCAGTTTACTTCCTGTTAGCATGGATTAGCCTTTCCAAGTCTGGTTGGGACACTTTTCCTCTGATTCTGGCAAAGATTTCTAGATGGTAAAAAAAAAAAGATGACGCTGATGTTTCGGATTTAATGTGGCTAATAAAGTCCAGGTCTAAGTCCAGTGTTTCCCCGAGATTTCTACCTTAATGGAAGCATGTTCATATTGAACAAAAGGGGTCCAAGGATTGACCCCTGGGGAACCCCACAGACCCACTCGGTCTGAGACCCAGTTTCCAATTTGAACCAAGTTACACCTGTGCTCGAGCTAAGACTTGAACCAGTTTAAAGCCGTATCAGAGATTCCCACCCAGACTTCTAACCCTTTTAAAAAAAGAAAGTCACATGATCAAAGGTGGTGCTCAGATCCAGCAGAACTAAGGCCGAGACTTTGCCTGCGTCTCTGTTCAAGCAGACGGCTTTTGATCAGAGCAGTCTCAGTGCTGTGGGGGGGCCTAAAGCCCCTCAGAAAGTCAGTAAGCTGTATAGGTATAGTACGTTTTTTCAAGAAATGTCAGGTTTGATATGGGCCTGTTTGGTACTGTGAGGAATGATGCACAGCTCCACTCTAAAACACCACTTTTAATAGTGTGACAGTACCTGGATATTCTCTAGAGAGGACACCAATTTATGTTTGAGAACACAAAGGATTTTTTTCTATAGGAATATGCGTCAGATTATGAGGTCAATAAATGGGCTTAAAAAGAGTACATTAAAGAGGCAGAGTCTCAGAAGTAAGAATGAACCCGGTCTCAGGTTGTTTAACTAATAGTTTTCATTAACCCTTTAAAGCCTGATCCAAGAAAAATAGGAAGAATATTGGATATTTTTATCTTAAGTCTTTCTTTGGCCCATCAACAACATGTGAAGAAAAAAAAACAGAAATTATTTTGATCAAATTAGCGTGCAATAAGTCAAAAATATATTTTGGTGTAGTCTTCTACTGGCTGTTATCAGGTATATCTGAACAGGGGTTTGAGCAAAGCTTTTACCACTGAATGATGGAAAAAGTCTCAGGTCCAAAAGACTTCAGAAACCGTATGAATCAAATATGATACATTTGGCATTATAGGGTTAAGTTTTAAACGTCTGACATTTCAGCGTTTCATATATATGGGAATGGGGCAGAGTTCAGTGGGAGGAGCCTGTGAGAAAAGCAAAACTTGGCTCTTTTCCGCCCCTCACCTGCTGCATGCTGAGACTGGTGTGAGTTGGGGAGTAGGGCCCCCCGAGGTCGTTTCGGAGGAGGTTGTCGCTGTGCATCTTGGTCTTGAGGCAGGTGATGTAGCGGTTGCAGAAATCCTTGCAGAGCTCATTGACCTTCTCCAGCTCCAGCAGGTGAATCCGCAACACCTGAATGGCCTTCACCATCTGGGAGGAAAGACAGCGAACCCCCCCAAAACAGATCACACTCATTTAGCCGCCACAGAGAAGTACAAAAACAGAGAACATGGTCATGTTTCACCTTAGAGGGACGTATCATGCTCCATGGGAAACTAGCATACCGGTCTGTATGTATAGAAAATAATATCGGGAGGATCTTATTCACTTGAATAAGCTGTACTTATTCAAGTGATTAGTTGAATAGCCTACTAGTATACTTTTTCACGATATTCTAATATTTTGAGATAGGATTTTTGAGTTTTCTTAAGCTGTACGCCATAATCAGCTATATTAAAACAATCAAAGGCTTGCGATATTTCAGTTGATTTGTAATGAATCCAGAATGTATGACATTTCATGTTTTTTAATTGCATTACAGAAAATAAAGAACTTTATCACAATATTCTAATTTTCTGAGACAGTCCTGTACATCCAAATATACATTACATTTTTCAAATTAAATGGGATTTCTCCTCATCTGAGGATAGACTATTTTTTTTAGCTTCCGTACAGACTGTGAGAAGCTCCTGAGGCCAATCGCTTATAGATGTAGTTCAGAGAGGAAAACAAAGGCTAAAATAACTTGTCTTTGGTTGGTTTTGTTGTTCACTAATCAGTGTTCAATGACTGAATAAAAAACGTCTTTCTTCACGTATGTTTTTAATGAAGCAGGTTCTCCACACGAGGAATTTTCATAATGGTGAAGGAAAGACTCAAATCTGAGATTTTACCTCGGATGATCCATGCTAAACAGTTTCAAAGTCTCCACCTGCCACCCAAAATAAATAATTCACATGTTGGACTCCACCAGCTGCCCATTCTCAGCCGTCCAGTTTCAGTTTCTCTTTCCCATCAGATGATTCATTATGATTTACTTGGCCGTGGGATAAAAAAAAAGGTGGATCAAAAGTTTTGGTTTCAAAAGTTTCCAAGGCATTAAGACACTGAGATTTGTCTGCATGCTAATTAACCAGTAAATCTAAGCAAAAATGAGATTTTAATACCTTTTCAGAGAACGAAGGTCAGAAAAACCTGAGAAATGGTCTTTCAGTGCCTCCGCCTTACACTCTGGATGGGAATAAACCTCCAGAACCAAAGTGTTAAAAAGCCATTAGAAGGATAAACACAGCCCACTGCAATTAATCAACTCAAATTCTTTAATTTTTCCTCACCTTTACAGGTATGATGTCACACAATAAGAATGAATCTAAAATGACTGAACGTTACTTAGTTCAACTTCTTGGGTAAGCCATGGAAGTCTTAATGATGAACTAGAATTCGATTGTGCAGCATTTAGATTTAAAGATCTATGGATTCAATCTATAATTGATGTATCTCATTGTTAACTGACATGATCATTTTAAGGTAGATTACCACAAAAATTGTGTATTTCCTTTATCTGAGTGTTTACATTCCGTCGTCATAGGAAAAGGGAAAATGCACTTTAGTACTTTTTTGTCTTTTTATTGCAGCAGTAGTGATGCAAAGTCACTGTTTGTTCAGATATACTTAAACAAAAACCCAGTTGTTCCATTTTTTTCTATTAAAGTGATAAAATGTAGTGAAATAAATACAATCAGATGCATTACAGGGTTATGGGAAAAGTCTGTTTAAAACCTATATTATGAATGCATAAGTAAATACACATAAATATCTCGTGCACGTTGAATGTTTAATTCTCCACCGTGCTGTAGCAAAGTCACCACTGAAGGTCGATCAACAGGATGGGAAGAAGGGAGCGGCTGGCCGAGGAGGAGGAGATAAATCAGCTAATTAAAGCGCTCCGGCTTAATCAGGGGACCGGTAACTCCTGAGCCCACCGCAGCCGGTCGGGCCCGGAGTTACGTCCCCACCCGGTGGAAGAGGGACGCTGACACCCCGGGCCTCGTAAAACACAGAATATGCTTTTAACTCATTGACTGCCAGAGTTTTTTTTTAGCCTTTTGACTGATTTTTCAAGAGCCACAGAATAGTTTGTGCTATGACTATGTCAACGCCGAACACACCAAAAGAAAGAGTAGACTCACTTCTTTTATCAGGAAAAACAAATTTGTTTCTACCTTATTCCGTTCTTTAGTAATCAGCAGTAGAACATAGGTTGGTTTCAACAAAAACACCAGTTTTTGACCAATAAATGGAGAAAACAAGCTTTTTGTGAAAAGATACAGTTCAAGCAGAGAAGTGTCTTTGATGCTATTTCTTTGGCTTTAGTGACACCTCAAACATCTTAAAAGTTGTATCCTTCTATAAAACGGCAAAAACAACATCTAGAAATGGTTTTAAATTACAAAATAATTTATTCCCAAATACATTTATGTAAATAGTTCTGAAACACGACGTGAGCTAGGCCTACTCTCTCCGCTTGGCCCGGGTTGATCTCCTTAATTTCCCACGATCGGGACACCAACCGAACTACTGCGATTACTGCGACACAAACTCTGTTTGAGTGTGAGCTTCCTCGACTTGCGTCTCACCGGCGACATGTTCTCTCATATGGAACCGTTACCTTTTTCTTATTTGCCTACAGTCTATGCTCATCTCCCATCAAAAGTGGCACTGCCCCCTAGAGGGTCAATTTGTTACTACATACTCTGTCTAGAAGCCTGATATTTACGGACAAGCTTTAGCAGATCGTCCCCCAGCCACTCTCGTTGAAAAACATAAAAGACGTCTATAGACGTCTTTGGCAGCCAACGGTTGTATTTGAATTGACGTCTATAGACGTCTTTGGCAGCCAATGAGTTAATTGACTGCTCAGCACTAGTCGACCTGCCCTCCCGAGAAGTAAGTCGGCAAAGGCTGCCACTTTCCTCCGTTCTCCTCCAGCCTTATTTCCGCTCGCCCTCTTTGTCTCTGGCTCGTGTCGGCGAACGCGATCAGCGCGCTCCCCTTTAGGAATGTGTAATTACCGCTGGCTGTTGCGCGAGGAGAGAGGGGGAAGGAGGAGGAGGAGGAGGATGTGCGAGATTACACGAAAAAGGAGGGAATGATTAGGAGCAGTAATGACGGGTTTCGAAAACAACTGCGGTTTTTCTGCAGCTTCGCTTTTCAACGAAGTCACGCCTGCCCGAGTTTACGGTCTCAAACTCGAACCAAACGGTTCAAATCTGAATAGGAACAGGCACGTTTTGCGCACGGGACTCACAGAAATCCGTACAGATCGTTAAAGGGGACATATTATGATTAAAACCCAAGTTTTTAATCATTTGATTATGTACATTTGGGACTGTGGAGGGCCTATCAGCAGGCAAAGTGTGAAAAAAA